AGAATTTTAAATTAGAAAATATTAGTTAGCCAAAGGAAGAAGAAGAGGAGCTCAAATCTCTAACGGTATCTCGTCGAATGTACAGTTATGTATTTGCATATCGCTATCTCTTTTCTTCTTCTTCTACTCCTCCTTGTCTTCTGTGTGTGTGTGGGTGTTTTTTATTTGTGTGCAGACAGGATCCCCATATCATCGCCCCCTCTCTTTCAGCATCAATACATCATTTTCGTCTTTTCTCTTTCTCTGCATAAGTGTGTGTGTGAGTGGTTCTTTCTCCATGTATGTGTGTGTTGATTTTATGCCACTCTTTTCACTTTGTTGTTTTTTTTTGGTTTTTTGTTGCAGTTTTATTTACTTTTTTTCTCCTTTTTGGGGTGGGGTTTGAACTCGTTCCTTCTGTGTGTGTTTTTGGGTATTTTTGTTTAATATTTAAATAAATAATTAGCAAAAAGGGATATGCACATGTGTGTGCGTGTGTGTGTATTTCCCAGACCCCCCCTCTAAAAAAAAAATCTGCCTCTGTGTGCGTTGCTAATGATGTTTGAAATTGTAAAGCAAATGCAAAGGCATGCCCCGAATCTGAAGAATATGTTTTTTGGGGGGGCGAAACGAAAAGTGGGGGCTTTAGCACTGAAGTTCCTGGAGTATTTAGCCGAAAAGCAGACCGAGCAATGAATGGCTAACAGTTGAGCTGCTTAAATGCGCTATGGCAAAGAAATTATGGAAAAATGATTGTAAAATTAAAAAATTTTTTTTTTAAATTTCTTTCTTATAAGTTTTAAGATTTCTATGTGATCTATTTATGCCATTTATATATATATATATATCCTTCTTCTAGCATTTGTGGCTGTCAAAGCGTAAGCTTAACCTCCATTTTAATTTTTTTCTGCGCCTTATGTCAGGCAACAATAATTTTTCGCTCTCATTACACACGCACACATATGTATTCTTAACCCCTTCCAGACATCTTCTACTTTTCCTAGAGCTTTATCTTTGGCTTGTGCTGTTTAATGTGTGTGTAATTGTGAAAAACGCTTTGGGTTCGTCGTCATCTTCTTGATTTTCTTTTATTTTTTTGCAATGGGGATTGGGGCCATAGCTTCTTCTTCTGCTTCTTCATCTTCTACCCCCATGACAGCCTGTCATGTCATGTAGGCGTTTAAGTGGCAGTCATGGGTTAAGGGAGGGACGACGACGACTCATTTTCAAGAGTCCTTCGACTCTGGCAGCTAACTAGAAAGTTGGGAATATGCCCTGGCTTCAAAGGAGTAACGGCGTGTGCCACCTAAACCCCTTCTTAACCCCCTTCTTAACCCCTTCCCTAACTCCATTTGTTGTTGTTGCTGCATTGATTTGCTTTGATTTATTGTCCAAAAACCGCACAATGCAAAGCAGCAGCAGCAGTAGCAAAAATGAAAAACCATGGATGTAGCTACCCAGCTACCCTTTTTCGGGCATTCAAGGGGGTTGAACGAGAATATATGTATGCCCAGCAGAAGAAGATGAAGGCACTCGAGCTTAAGTTGAAGCACAATTCATAACATTGCCTTCGTACTAATTACAAAAAGTGCTCTCGCCCAACAGCCTGCCTCCCCCTTCGCAGCGAAAAAAAAAGTGCGGGAATCGTCGTGAAATTCAGAAATCCAGAAATCCTGAAATTCAGTAGCTCAGAAATCCCGAGGTCCTGACAGCAGCTGCTACTGCTGCTCCTTGCCAAAGAGCGAGAAGAATTCCCCGCTCGCGGGTCTTGAGGCAAGCTCACTTCAGACAAACAGCTTGAGACAATGCCGCATGCTGCAACTTCAGAGGGTGTGGTGGCAAAGAAGGGGGTTGGCAGGGGGTTTGGAAGGGGGTTTTTGGCGAATGAGTTGACATGTGCCAAGCACACGACAATTGCGAGCAAACAACTCAAACACACACACGGCGGCAACGGGCAAGCATAAAAATCATATAAAGAAAAAGAAAAGGAAAAAAACGAATAAAATACAAATAAAATACAGAATTCGAATCAGAAACAGGCGCTCGAAAAAAAGGGATAAGGGCTTTCAATAGTTGATACAATTGCAATCAGAAAAATATAAGAGTGAAAGAGGAAAAAATAATTATTATTAATTATAATAAGAAATATATTTCATTAATCCATCCCTTACCTTACCATTCCCAAAATTCAATTTTAGTATGACTGGAATTTTAACAGATCCTTAAACAAGGACTAACATTTCACTTAATATTTTTGGTTCGCGCGCGAGAGTTTTTACCCGTTTTCTATATATATATATTTTTTTTTATTTTGGAAAAAGCTCCTTTGAAGTGGCAACCGGCAAAATATTAAATGAAACCCAAAAATAAAAAGGGGAGCCACGCTAAAAGGGTGCTCAATACGAAAAGCCTTGCCTTGCCATAAGCTGACCACACACACGGGGGCCAAAAGGGCCATTGAAGTGGGCAGGACCCAAAAAAAAAAACGAGAAACCCTCTCCAACTTGCAGGAAAAAAAAGAAAAAGGGAAAACCAAAAAAATGCCCAGGCAAAGCCACCCGCATTTTAGTTAATTAACTCATTTGGTTGGCAACTGCTGCTAAGCTAAGCTCGCTGGCTGGCTGGCATTAATTGATTTGCCCAGACTCCAGAAGAATCCCCGAAAACCAAGAAAACTATTTTCCGAGGTGGAAAAACTGGACAGTCGAACATCCGAACAACAAGTGTTGCGCTTCCCACGAGGATTGCTTTTCGGTGATCGATTTTCCAGGGGGTCCGAGCAAAAAGTCAGGCTAAAGAAATGGAAACCGGGGAATCGCCATCGCCATCGCAATCGCAATGAAAATGAAAACGCAAAAGTATCGCTGTCTCTCTGTTTTTGGCCATTATGAAAACAATTTTCAAGCTTAAGCAGCTCACGGGAAAATGGCAAAAGCAGCAGTAGCCACCGCCGCCAACCGAGGTCTTAAAACAGAGCAACCACTGAACCACCGAGAGAGAGAAGCACCCATCACCACCCAACCACCCATTTTCCAGCTGTCTGCCTGTGTGTCTGGCATTCGAAAGGACGTCGTCGGCCGAAGGACGAAGGACAACAGAACTGCACCCAACCACTTGTCTGTTGTTTGTACTTAAGAGCTTTTAAATATCATAAATATATATCTATGCGACTTCAACTCCATCCTCGAACTCCCATCTCAACTCCCCCATTCCTTTCGATTCGTTCGTAATGAGGATGATGATGTTGACAAATATGCCTGGCAGGGCAAGAAAAATGATTTGCTTTTTGCCATTCGGTTTTCCCAGGGATATTGTCATTAAGCGCACTCAAAATCATCGAATGTCGATGGTTTTTTCGGGGTTTGAGTGGAAGCCATTAGGGGAAGGTTCTCTGTAAGGGAAGAAGTGCTTAAATAATACATTTTATTATCTGTTTTATATTATATAATTATTTCTGTATTTATATATTTTTTTTTATGTCAATTCGTTTTCGTGATTTAGGCTACTTCTCTTTTTATTGTCCAGATTTTTATATATTAGTATAGATATAATCTATTTTTATAAAATATTTTTCAGTTATAAAATATTGCTTTTCTAGTTAAGATAGCAAACTCCGAAAAGAGCTCCTCCTCTTTGCCCATTTCCACACTCTGTGTAACGACTTCCTGCTTAACTTTATTCGGCAAATCGAAGGAAGAAGAGAGAAAACCTTCATCGATATGAAGTAGAAGTAGAACTCTTGGCCAAGAACGGAACCGAATGGCAAAAGGCTTAAAACTCACACCAAATAGTTTTGTTGGTAACAGCACTAGCCGATCGACTAATTTCCAAAGTTCTTTATTGCCTGCAACGCCCACTGAAGTCCTGGTTTTTTGCTAGCTTCCGGTATTTATACAAATAAAATTGCACAAAAACCCCAGAAAACCCAAAAAAAAAAAACAACCAGAAAGGAAAGCCGAACAAATCAACGGAAAATCGAAGCAAAAGTCATTGCCATTTGCTTGGGCTTAGGGAAAATGGAAAATGGGTGTGGGAATGGGATCGAAATGGAATGGAAGCCTTAAAACTTGGGGGAGATTCTGATTCTGGTCTGGGTCCCAGACTAATTTGCCAAAAAAGTTTGCACCGCATATTTTTGTAACCTTCTTTAGGAGTTCTCAACTCTTTTTTTTTTATTTATTTCTCTATTTTTTTGGCCAATGGTTTCTGTGTTTTGTTGTTTTAATTTCTCATTTGGCATTTTGGGGAAATCCAGGAGAAAGCAGGAAACATCGAAGGTCAGGTCACTAATAGCTGGGGAGAATTTTCAAGTTGGGCTTATCGATACCGACGATAAACTATAAATTTGTTGGTCCTGGCCCGTAGATCCTTGTTGTTTTCGGTTGCTAATGCAGACGGAAATACCCCGGAATGTTTTTTAAGCCTTCCGTCTGTGACTCCTTTTGGCCTATTTGGTATTTAGTTTGTGTTTGGGTTTGAGTTTCTGGCCTTTTTGCATTTTGCAGAGGGGGTAGAAAGCCGACAAAAGTTTTTGCAACGTATTAATTTGGCTAAATTTAACCCGTAATGACTTTAAAAGTAAAATTAATGAGGGTCGATAGTTGTTGGCTAAGGCTGGCTGGGGGGTCTGTAAACTTTTTGCTTTTTGTTTGTGGCAAAAGCAACATATGTGCCTGACATTGCTTTAGCTTGCCTTCCAAAAATGGGCTGTAAAGTTGAAGACCCATGGAAAATGTATCAAAATCATCCTTTTTTTTATATACCTAATTGAAGGGGATATATTAATTTTAAGGTATTAAAAGTAAACTATACCTTAGCATTTAGCAATCAATTTATAAATACTATAAAAGAGTGTCGATTTAAAATGGGAAGATAACCATAAAGGGAAAACAGTTGGACATAGAAATCTAAAATAAAAAACCGAAATTCGTAAACAATATTATAAATAAAATAAAATATTTAAAAATTAAAAAAAATAAAAATTTTAAATTAATATTTTATATTTTTAAAATTTTTTACAGCGCGCTACCCTGGCCGAGAAGGAGGTGAACACACTCAAAGAGCAGCTATCCACAGGCAATCCCGAGAACAGCGACAACAGCGACACAGCAACAGTTGCAGCAGCAACAAACGACAGTGAGGAGGATCAACAGCAGCAGCAGCAGCAGCAACAACAGCAAAGCGACAGCGACAAGCTGCTGAACAGCTCCATTGTTGCAGCGGCCATAACGCTGCAACAGCAGAACGGCAGCAATCTGCTGGCGAACACAAATACGCCGTCGCCCTCGCCGCCGTTGCTCAGCGCCGAGCAGCAGCAGCAGTTGCAGAGCAGTTTGCAACAGAGCGGCGGTGGCGCCTGCCTCAATCCGAAGCTCTTCTTCAATCACGCCCAGCAGATGATGATGATGGAGGCGGCAGCTGCGGCAGCAGCGGCGGCACTGCAACAGCAGCAGCAACAGCAATCGCCGTTGCATTCGCCGGCGACTGAGGTGGCAATTCCCGCAGAACAGCCAGCAGCAACAACGGGAGCGGCTACAGCAGCAGCAGCAACACCGATTGCCAGTGGCAACATCAAGAGCAGCAGCAACATCAATCACAGCAACAACACCAGCAACAACAACAGTCACCAGGAGCAGGAGGACCAGGAGCTGGAAGAAGATGAGGATGAGGAGGAGGAGGATGAGGACGAGGACGATGAGGAGGAGAATGCCTCGATGCAATCGAATGCCGATGATATGGAGCTGGATGCACAGCAAGAAACCAGAACTGAGCCAAGTGCAACAACGCAACAGCAGGATCTTGCCGATCTTGAGGAGCAGAACAAGGATGCGGGGGAGGCTAGTTTAAATGTTAGCAATAATCACACAACCGATAGCAATAATAGTTGTAGTCGAAAGAACAACAATGGTGGCGGCAATGAGAGTGAGCAACATGTTGCCAATTCGGCGGAGGACGATGATTGCGCCAACAACAATACAAACACCAGCAATAACAACAATACCAGCAGCACCACCGCCACCAGCAACACCAACAACAACAATAACAACAACAACAGCAGCAGTGGCAACAGCGAGAAGCGCAAGAAGAAGAACAATAACAACAACAATGGCCAGCCTGCTGTTCTATTAGCTGCCAAAGATAAAGAGGTAAGTTTAAGTTTAACTGGAGGTTAAATAAATTTTAAATTGGGCGATAAATAAATTTCAGTTTAGGTAGAAAAGTTGACAGGAGGTTTAGAAATAGAGATAAAATCAGCTAGAATTGAGATCACACTTTACCTGGGTGTTAACCAGCTTAAGAAAAAACTAACTACAGCTTAACTTGGAAGTTAAATATTTAGTATAAAAAGATTATGAGTGATTCACTTGAATGTAAGCCGTTAAGTAAAGGCTAGATTATATAAAATGTTTTAACCGGAAGTTAACCCCCTTTTAAACATCAAACTCCTGACGTCTACCCGAGTAAAAGTATCAACTTTAAGTGACTTTTTAATTTAATAAACTGTAGCGGTCTTGGGTCGAATATCCTTAAAAAAACGAGAAAACCCCCCAACAAACCCACCGACAGACAATTACCCAGCGCAATGAAATGTAAAACCGTTAAGATTAGACAAACGTCGCCGCCCACACCGGAATTTGGAATGTGCTAGTGTGTTTTTTGGGGGGCAAAGCGGTTTGGGTTTGGCTAAGGGGGTGTTTGGGCAAAAAAGGATGCCATGGGCTGCCAAAAGGAGTGAAGGAAGCGTAAAAAAATAAAAAAACAGAACCAAGGAGAGGAATTTCAACCGCAGACGACGACGACGACGCACGACTGACCGACCGCCGTCGCCTCAAACCAGTACGCACAATTGAGAAAACACTTGCACAAATAAACAAAACCCCCCACCACCCACTCGGCCACTTTTCTTGTAATTTTCTAGCCAAACAGAAAAAATGTTGCCCGAGTACGACGAAACCGAAACCGGGAAAAATAGAAAACACAAAAAAAAAACAGTGTACAAGGCAAACAAATGAGCGGCGGGACTTTTGACTTCTTCTTTACACGCCCAAGAACAAGAAGAAGCAGCAAAAAGGGACAAAAAATGGGAGGAAAAAAATCATACAGCCTGGGATTTGAGCCTTTTTTTCCCTGGGACAGCAACCAAATCAACCCAACAAGGGAAAAAAGTTAGAAGGAAACTTTTGCGGCAGGCAAATAATAGGAAGGGCTACCCAAGGACAAGGACCAAGGACCCAAAGAGCACACAGGGGGTGTAAAGTGATATCATTAAAATATTGACAAGACAATTTTTACGCCTACAAATTTGTTGAATGCCTTTGTTTACACAGTACCAGATGAGATGAGAAGGGGATGGGATGTACAAAAGCTAAGGGAAAGAATTGGTATGGTATACGAGCTTTAGAAGTAGAGGAACTTATATTTATAACTTGTAATATAAACTATAGTAGCGGATACTTTTCGCATCTTTTTTGAATACCACATTTTCCTTCATTTACCCCATTTTGAGATTTTAAAATGACAACGAAATCCATTAATTTAACCCACCAATTTTCCTAATGCAAAAATAGGAATAAATCTTCCCCTTTTTATTTTTTTCTTTCACCGCATTGAATGATTGCTTATCCTGAAAAGAAATAAGAAAAAACCACCCGTGAAAAGCTTCGACTTGAAGTGTTTCGTGTGGCTTTTTGTGCTGATTTGAAGATGTGCACACGGGAGTGGTGCATTGCATTTTAGCATCAATCATTATCATTTGCCATTAAGTGCAACAGCAGCAGCAGCTCCTTTTCCATTAGCAACCCCTAGGTGTTGCTTAAAAAGAAGAGAGAAAAAGAAGCGCATTTCTTTAATGTTTTATCACTTCACTTGGCCAGACACCCAACCAAACCAACCAGTGGCTTAGAAGGGCTTTCAGAAGGGGGTTTTAAGAACTCTACAATAAAATATATTAAACTGAAAAACAAGTATCAGATATATATATTTCTTTAAAATTTATAAAGAAAATTATTATGAACAGGTGCTTAGAATTAAAGCCCCCTTTGCTGCGCACCTCTGATTTTCGCGCGTTTTGCTGGCGTTTTCTGCGCGTTTTCTTATTTGAAATCCATTAAAAGCTATTTTTGCCGCCTGCTGGTGGGCCCAAGCTCATTAGTTTGATTACTGGCGCTTCCCCCCTCTGTGGAAAAAGAGCCCCCCCTCCCACAAACCGACGTCCATGCACAGCTGTGATAAATGCACTCGACTGACAACTAAATCACTTATGAACGCTGCGCTGTGCGCGTAGATTCAGATTTATCTGTTACACATGTTCATAAATATGCGACAATATTTTTGTTGTCCTCGAAGCGCGGCAGCCAAAGATGATCGACAGGCCCTGGGATATAACTACAGTGGTGGCAAAAATAATAGTGATCAGAAACTATTATTAAAATATTTCAAAAATGGAAAATATAAAAAAAATGTCATTATTAATTTACAACAAATTTTTGTTGCATTCCTTTTGAATATGACATTTCCATTCATTTTTCACTCGATAGGATTTAAATAAATATACAATTTGATTTTATTTATTACGCTTCTGCCACCACCATTATTTTTGAACTCAGCTGTAAGGGGGCCGAATATTTTTTTGCCCAGAAAAAATCATGTTAAATGGAATTGCAACAGTTGTTTGTTGTTAGAGTCGAAGTGCAGCTCCTCAGTTTGTTTTGGCTATGAGGCATATGTTTATTTTTTCGCAGAAGTGCATTTTTATAGACAAAGTGCTTTGGGCCGCCGCGTCTCGCTTCCAAAAATAAAATGCAAGGCAAAAAAAAAATAATCGAAAAAACGCTGAAAAAAAATAGTGGAGAGAGAAAAATTAAACGCTTCTTGACAGCGCAAACAAATGAACAACAAATTAGCAGCCAGCTTCCGCTTCGATTTTGTTTTGTTTTATTTACCAATACTCTAAGCACACATTATTTTTCAAACAAAAAAACGACACGTTCGGTGGCACTTTGTTATATTTTTCTACTTTTTTTTTTATCACATGCGGCAAACAAAAACAAACAGCATATGCGGAAAAAACCAGCGGAATACAAGAAATGTATTTATTAAATAACATTCTCGATTTCGTTTTATTTTTTATCTGCCCCAACGAAAAAAAAATGTGTACGTATTTATAGAATTTCTTTATCGACATATTTCCACATATTTATTTTTTGTGGGGAAAAAACAAAAGGGCCAAACCCCAAAAAACGAAATCAATTTTTTATGAACTCTTTGTTTTTGTGGCTAGTTTTAGTTGTTTATCATAACACTACGAAATTCAAATAAATCCGATTAGCAGTTGGGAAAACCACAAAACATTCATGGGAAGTCATTGATAAGTTTGAGGTTTTATTTTGCATATATACAAAAAAACACATTGTATAGTTTATCTAAAGAGTAAAAATACCATGTGAATTGAAGGCCTGAAACGCAACTAATTTTATTTTTAGAAAATGTGGCAAAAATTTTGACTAACTGACTGATAAGAGCAACCGATTATTGAGCACTTAGTTTTCGGTTTTTAGGTCCCGCATCTCGTCGATCCATCCATCCAATAATCATCCATTGACCAGCATAAACCGACAGTTCGGGCGTGATAGATAATCGGTTTAGAAATAATAGAAATAATCATAATTTTTCATGCACAAAATTCGATTTGTGCTTATCATCGCGTGACTGCGATCTCCCCATTTAATTTGTTTCGTTTCGATCCCACGATGGGCGCTCAAAAATAATATATATGTATATTTCTATTACTGATTCTAATTCTTGGCTTTCTTGGTTAATTGAAATTGGAGTACTTGTATGTTTTTGGCTCTGTTTGCTCAGACCGCCTACGTCAGAGGCAAAACCCCGAAAGGGTTGGCTCGTATATTATATGCCAAATACCAAAATATATGCCACAATTTGGCTGACAGAGCCAAATATTTGGATACACGCTCCAGGCGAAAGACAATGTGTGTGTTGTGTTATTTTTAAATGCAAATCGAGCGGAAAATCCATCAAATGTCTAACGCAAATGGTCTAAAATTAAACTTCAGCCGTTGAGAAAACCAGATCAACTGTTTAAACATCGAAATCATCGATGATCCCCTGAGAAACTCTCATCCATTTCACTCGCTCTCTCTCCATCGCTCCCTCTCTCTCTTTTTCTAATCAAAATTGAAATTCGTAATCTTTGATTCAAGGCAAGAGCTCAATTATTATTGTAGATTTTTTATTAATTTGATTCTCATTAGGTTCAATTGTTTTTTGCAAGCAAGTGTTCCCAAAAATTATTGGCGATTATTCGAATTTAGTATGAGTTATTATGCCAATGGAGGCAAAAGTTGAAGTCTAAGTTACGTTCGGTGCTCCTTGAGAAGAAATCAAAACATGAAACGGGTGAGGGATTAGTTTAGATTTAGTTATTGAAATGGTTGCTTGGTCTCTCCACATGTCATTAGTCTCAATTCGAATACAAAAACCGAACTGAAATTGAAAATGTACAAAAAAGACATAGTACGAATAAAACGAATAATAATAATGCAAATACGAATACAAATACAAATACAAGTCGCACAATTGCAATTATTCAATTCAAATCAATCAGCACACGAATACCATAGCACATGGATTACTGGAGACATTGAGCTTAGTTTAGGACTACTACTGCCTGCAATGATTGCTGCTGTATGTTGATGTTGCTGCTGCTGCTGTTGTATGTTGCTGTTGCTGTTGTGCTTATCGTGGCTGTTGTTGCTATTTGTATTTGCTGATTAAAGTGAAAAACAGTCATTATCGTGTGCAGTGGCGCAGAGAAAAGGGGTCTTTGAATGTCTTAATTTAGAAAGAATTTTTATTTATATTTTATTTTTGATAAAAAAGAAGAGAGGTTTTTAATGTCTAAAATTGGATATTTTCATTAGAAATCAAATTTATTTGAATTTTAATTTTAAAAAAATTTGTAGGTTGTACTTATATTATTAAAACTTTTTTAGAAATCTCTTTGATCCCCTTTTTCCTACGCCCCTGATCGTACAACACACACACCCGCACACACTAAGACACCAACCCTCTGGCTTTTTCGACCAATTGCGGATAAATTCAATTTATTTATCGCATATGGATTCTG